AAAAGGCAAATTATAACTAACTTCTTTTAATTAATAAATAAATTTTGTTGTGGTTAAATTTGATTGGTCAATTACACTTGATTTTTGTACAACCAAATGATCTAGAATCATGTGATCAATATTTCTTTACCATACAAGGTATGATCTATATTGTCCATATTTAGCAAAATCCCTAACTGTAATATTGTTATAGAACAGTTTATTATTTTATTAGTTTATTATTTTGATATTGTATAATTATTATCTTATTATTTTATTATTTAGTTATTACGTAGCAGTTTTTTTGAGATAATACAATATAAGTGGTAAAACACCATAGATGCGTTTTAGTAAAAGTTGGAAAATTAGTTTTTAATCTTAAAAAAACTTTATAATTTACAATTTAACATGTTTTACTACGTAGCATCCATATACAGTATATATTTAAAATGTATATCAGATATACGTATTCTACGTACGTACGTACGTACGTATTTTTAATGTTCGAAAGAATAGTTACACTAGCTAAGCACAGAGTTTCAACGAATCAAAATTGTCAAATTATTAATTTTGATCTAATACACATGCTTATTAAGATTTATAAAAAAGCTTACGTACTAAAAATTTATTTAAGCTACCTGCATTATTTTGTCTATGGAAGAGAAATTTCACCGAGTTTTTTCCGATTGTGGGCTTACACGTGTTCTATAACTTTAGCCGCATGAAAAAAAGTGTATATTAGGCGATTGTTAATTGGCTGATGTAATTCAACCAAAGATCCGATCTGCTGCGGGTTAAAAATATATAAAGGTAAATTCAAATTTGGACTAAAATAACACATTTTAACCTGTTTCTCGGGTTTATTTTTTGTTTCTTTTTTTAATAATTTCACAGGTCTGTATTGTTTTTTAATAAATTTGAAAGGCTGTCATGGACGCTGAACCTCTCTCTACCGCTGCCTTGTAGGTTAAAATTTACCGTACTTTCGGTTAATTGTTTTTGTTCGATCCGCTTTAATAATATTCTTTGCATTCTTGCAGAAGGATTCCTACTATTCAAATATCGGAATCGCCAGGTCCCATTAATAACCATGTGGAGGGTAAAAAGGGACGGGGAAGTAATCACCGAACAAGACCGAGACTAAGCAAAAGCATACCAAGCCTTTATGCTGAGGATTCTAGTGAAGGAGGTTCCACTGACGATGGAAGGCTTATGTCTCCAAAAGCGATAAGAAGAACTAATGTAATAAAAGAAAGCTTCGATGGTTTGTTTATTGAATGTTTATTAACGTTAATTATATAGTGATAGTTGATACGTAGTGACATTAAGATTAATAAAATTGGTAATTTCTGATTTTGATTGGCAAACAAAATACCGTAGTGCACTGACCAAAGTACCCGGAGTCTAAAACAAAAAAAAACTTTATAAAGTACCCGTGGGTATCTTGATCGGTAATGGGTATCTTGTAATGGGAGGTACTTTGTACGGTCTTATATATGTAATGCAGAAATCAATATGTGGTAAAATACCCGGGTATTATTATCAGTTAAAACTGGGTATTTTGAGTGGGGGTACGCAAAAAGGGGTGCTTTGATCAGTGCACTACGGTATCGACACCATGACATGTCCTGCGATCTGCATTTAAATAGAAATCATTCAATTATTTGTTATTACAGTTTTTTTTTGCTTACGAATTGTTTTATTTTGATATATGAATTCTGATAAATCAAAATATTATTATTATTTTTCTTTAGATTTCATAAGGAGGCGCCGTAATGCTTTAGAAAATCAGCGATCTACAATTTCTTTGTATACATCACCTGTCCTTGTTATGACATACTTCCTGGCATATGTTATCCATCAGGTTAAAAGTGCAGCGGAATATGCGCGATCAAGAAAATGGATTTTGGCGGCAGTACCGGTGTTAGGAGGGTTAATTCAATTTACATTATTGGTTGAAGGCGCTCATAAAGAGGTAAAAAGAAAATTTTTGATAACAAGTTTAGATCTAATATTGACAACAGATTTTTATTACACATTAAATCTAGATTATATATCGTGTTCAACATTTAGTATTTTGGTATTGTTATTGGATTTGTTTGGGAATCGCGTCTTCGATAGGCCTTGGCACCGGTCTACATACTTTTGTACTGTTTCTCGGACCTTTTATTGCGGAAGTGACATGGGCGGCTAATACTTGTAGGAGACTTGATTTTGAAATTTCTGGACCTAATAGGTGAACTAGATTTATATTTAAACATTTAATGAAAAAAAAAAACTTTATAAAGTTATTAATCATAATGATAATTTAAAGATTTCGATGCCAGCCTATGGAAACAGAAACCAATCCTATTTCTATTTCACTTTGGAGTGTTTTTAATAAAGTTCAATGGGAGTCTTTTTTCTGGGGACTTGGCACTGCGCTGGGCGAATTACCACCATACTTTGTTGCGAGAGCTGGTAAAGTAGATTTGAGTATAATAAAATGAGAGAGAAATTATTCATGATTTTTGCTAACAATCAATCTTGCATACATGATGATAGCTGCTTTATCTGGAAGTCGAAGTGAGGAGTTGGCACAACTCAATAATTTGCTGGAAAATTCGCCAGAAAAAATGACGATAAAGGAAAAATTACTTATGAAAACCCATAGACTATTACTTAAATTGGGGTTTTTCGGAATATTTTTGTTTGCTTCGGTGAGAACTATTCACAGCAATGAGTATTGTATACCAATTATGCCAAAATGTATAGAAAAATTACTCATAATGTTATAATGGGATTTTAAAATGTTAGATCCCCAATCCATTATTTGATTTAGCAGGAATTATCTGTGGGCAATTTTTAATTCCATTTTCAACATTCTTTGGAGCGACATTCCTTGGTAAGGCGGTGGTGAAATCATCAATACAGGTATATAATGATTTCTGTATAAAAATAAAAAAGGTTTATAAAAACACAAGGACAGATTTATTTCATATTATTTTATACATCAAACATAATAGACAATTATTGTGATATTATTGTTCTCTCAAGATACTATTGAAACAATTTTAAATATTACACGATATATTCCTTATATACACGATAAGTTTGAAGCAATGATTCAGCGGCAAACTATTATATTTAGACGCGAAAAAGGGGAAGATGCGTACGATATTGGACCGGTACGTTGTTGGTAGTTTATTTGAATTTATTTATTTTTATTTTATTTTATTTTTTTAACTGAATAATATGAATATGTTTAGAGTAACCCAAGTATCATATCACTTGCGTGGAATACAGTTTTTAATCTAATGTTAGCATACTTTGCGCTCTCTATAATTGAAACTTTGGCTATATCGCATCTTAAGCGAGTACATGATCAAGAAATAGAAAATTTGGAAAGAAAGGCGAGTGAAAATGCAATGATACATAGTGATAACACGAATGAGCGTTTAACCGTGAGAAGAAGGACGATCGACGGGAAATACAAACGTGACCGTAGTCTGGGAAGAGGATATGAAAGTAATTAGAATAAATGACATTATTTAAGAATAGAACTGGAACGAGCGTAATTTGTAAATTAATCATTTGTTAATGTATGAAAGAAGGTTGATCGATCGTGAATGTTTCGATTCCGTGGCATTTTTCTTTTAATCATAACATTTTTCAAATTTAATTGTAATAAGAACAATTTGTGAAATCGAAACATTTAAAATCAAAATGGTGTTTTTAAAATTACACAGTACAAAAATAATATTAGTAATGATAGTGACCTCCTTACAATAAATAATTATTTAATAAAGTTTTCGAATTGAGTAAATCGAATTTATTAACATTAGATAGTAGTTTATCCAATACTGTAACTAAGTTGTATTACTTTGTGTGTACTAAAAAATTTTTTTATTACAATTCTATTTATTACAATTTGTTACAATTTGTTACAATTTTCTATAATTTAAACATACAGCAGCTGATCGTGATGGCGTCATCGCAATTATGATTTTATAGTAATTTTAGGCATATCCAAGATTAAATAAAATAAGAACCAGGTTAGGTTGAAAATAGAAGATATAAGTGCTTTTAGCATGAAACTTTGTTTTCTGATCTTGTGTCGACATACTAAAGTTATTGGTATATAGGAGAAAAAAAAATTAATAGATGTGCAAAATAGATGCGTAAATGAGTCTCGTTATACTGTATAATAATATAATTCCTATTCGACACATATTTAGCAACACATTACGTAATAAGTATGTAATGACTACGTAAGACTTTTGTTTTTTTACTAATTAGTATAACATGAGGCTCATTTTGTATACTAAATATATATATGTATATAAGTTCATACCAAACATACTAAACCAGCCACCAAAAATTCCTAAACAATTTCAAAGACATTGATGTAAATTTTTATGCGCCCGTTAGAAAAATAAAAAAATAAAGAATTACCTGTTGTCCATAACCACCAAAGTAATTCCTTTTCTGGAGTTCTCCAGTTCTGCAATCTTGATTGTTGCTTATCAAACCAGAATACTATCCATGTAACTACGTTTATTACAATTATTGGTGGAGCAATAGTTTGAATTCCTATAACAAATGCAACTTTGTTTCGTATGTATAATAATGATATATAATTATTTGATTTACTTATTGATTTGTTTTTTATTAATCATGAAGTAATACTGCAGTAAAGTGCATTAATTTACCTTTTGGATCGTAGTCATGCCTCTTATTTAAAAAATGTAAAAAAGTAACAACTTTTATCGTCTGGCAACCTAACCAAAAAGTTAGAAATAGTCGAAGCGTTGGTAAAAGTTTTGTTCTTGCCATGGTCAAATATATAAATATATGTCGTCTTAATGTGTTATAAGTATATTGTGTTATAAGTATATTGAACTATATTATATCTTATTACGATGACAATTGACGCGTTTACTACTAATAATATTGATATCTATAAATTCCGGTTATTTATGTATAAAAAATTCGACATATCGATATTCAAAAAAATGCTCTTTATATATTCTCTGGTAATTTTCTCGGCATTGTTTTTTTTTTTAGATTCTTTATTGTTGAAATCATTAAACTTGTAAAGCGAACAATATTAACCAGAACTTTCGACAATGGAATTTTTTTTTTGTTATATTCATTGTTATTCAAAAAATTGTATATATGGGGGGGTGCCAATAGAAACCAAGCAATTTGTTTTTAGTGAGTTTTTTTTAAATTTTAAATTAAAATATCCCAACAACTATTAAACCAAACTTGATAAATTTTTTTTTATTTTAATTCTATATCCTTATAAAATTAAAATAAAAAAATTAGTATCA